CACACACACACACACACACACACACGCATACACACACATGTACACGCACACGCACACATACACATACACACAGGCACACACACACACATGTACACACATACACTCCCAAACGCACGCGCGCGCGCACACACACACACACACACACACACACACACACTGTTGCCTCGTTTTGTCAAAGCAAAGATCATTCGAGTCCGTTGAAAGAAATTTATAAAAAAAATCACCAACGTGCAGTGCATAGGACTTGTAAGAGGTACGAGGCTAGGTGTGTGATCGCCCGACTCTATCGCCTCGTTTTCAGTTTCAGGTGACCGAGTCGGGCGATCGGCCCGACCCAGCCGTTGTGGGCAACGTCCGGGTTCGGGTACCGTACCTGCCACAAAGATTCCCTGCTGGTGGCAGAATAATATTTGCCTTCCCAGTGCCCAGCCCCAATGATTACACATATTATTATTATAAATAGATCTCTAACCGAGTGCTTGTTCTGTCCAGCTATATGATATTATGAACAGCATTGTTGCATACGAGAAGACCCGACTAATAAAAATACACTGCTTATACGCGAAGTCTCAGTGACCTTTAGACCGGATCTGTAGTTAACTGACTGACTGACTCTGACCATTTGACTAATAATCCCGGCATTGGATCGTCGTACCCACTGTGATTTAGACTATGATCTGAACTACTTGGTGACGCAGTGCTTGGGGTAATTTTCGTAACAGTGAATAGCCAGTCTTGTATCGAGTTTTGCTGAAAACAAAACGATTTTCAGCCTGAACTTACCTTTAAAGGCTGTTTTCTCAAAATGCTATTTTTGACATATCAACCCATTAAAACCTCCACTGTTTCTCAGTCGATTTCAATGCCACTTTTTCGGGACGTTAACAACCCCTCGAGCCCTAGTTAAAATATTTGCGAGAAGTTCTTTTTATTAATATTCTTGATGCAGCAGGTTTTGATTGACGAGCTTAGAAATCTAAATAAGACTATAATGGAATTGCAGTTGGATAACAGAATCCAATATGGCCGCCATTTCCGTAGCAACCAAATCAAATAATGATAATATATTTGTAAATCAGTGATTTCAAATCCTTAATGACGAAGAATATCTCACAGCAAATATGGGCCAATCATTTTTTAAAGTGCGCTCTAGCCCTCTCGCGATCTCTGTATTTTCCCCCCGCCTCCCCCTATCCCCCTCTTCACACACACATACACACACACACACACATACATACATACACGCATAAAACCGAACAAACACACACATATACAAAGACACACGCACATACACAACCAAACACACACACATACAGACACGCAATACAAACTCACGCACGGACACGCATACACACACACAAACAGACACACATACAGACACACACATACAAACACACACACAGACACACGCACACACAGGCACACACACACACACACACACACACACACACACACACACACACACACACACATACACACACACACGATCACAGAGCTTCAACTTTGACTGTCAGGACTAGACTATGATATCCCGGTCGGTGGAGAGGGATACAAGAAACATACCAGCATACAGATCAAGATACTCGGTAAAAAGTCTCACAACACGTGAACTGATCTCGGATCTTCTGTGTGTGACGGCAAAGCGCTTGTTATTACACAGGCACTGGTGTTCAAGGATGATTTCATTTCTTCAACTAATTAGCGCACGTTAAACTATTTATTTTAAATAGTGAGAACACCGCATATTTTGAGTAACAACAAGACACTTACTCCTGGCAACTATTCAGCAATGGCCAGGACATTAAATTCGCTGTTACACGCTGAAGGCATAAGTTCAATTCTCGAGCGGAAAGGCTAAAAAAGAAATAACATTATTCTTCAAATATAATCTTCGTCTGCGTTCTTGGTTACTGCTGTAAACTGTACACAACACAGCCACGGTTGCCGGTTGATCTCTTCAAGGTTGTAGCAGACTACCTCACAATACATGATCTAATCTCTGCCGATGAGACGAATACCATTCACAATCAATCAACCAGAACTCTTCCACCAAAGCAGAAGTACTTCCACAAAAATAATCAGTCCCAACTTACCGACCATAATAATATCATGCTTTACGCTCCGCTCAAAATTGTGGTCTGTATTGAGTCTTACAAAGTCTCCACTTTCACCAAATCAGTTCCAACTTACAATAAAATCATACTTTACACTCCATTCGAATGTGTGGTCTGCACTTTCACAAAATCAGTTCCAACTTACCATAATATCATATTTCACGCTCCGCTCGAATGTGTGGTCTAGATCTATATTGAGTCCAACAAAGTTCACACTCTGACTTAGAGCTATCGTACTCCAAAGGCAAAAGAATAGATAGAATGTCGCGGAGTTGCTCTACGAGTGGGGGAATTCTTGATTACCATTACGTTATAACTGCATTTCCCGGAGAAACCCCAGTGGCGTGGCGACTGGCGGGCCCGGTTAGGTCAGCCCAGGTCAAGAGTTCTGAGCTGTGTAAGGCTAAACCATGGTGTCGGTGTTCTGAAGTCTAGTCTTATTTTTAGAAGGGGGAAGACGGCACCCCT